CCTTTTTTTTCTTTTTCTAAATTGTTAATTAGGGATGAGGTACACATACAGTCTATAATATAATATTCACTTATGTGTGCTCTCTGCTGTGCTTGGCCCTGTACTATGTGATTGTGGTGACCAACCACAGTGATCACACTAGTAAATAAAAAATGAGAGAAATTATGAATGCAGCTGTCATGAATGGATTCACCACTGGTGGTGGGACTCACCTGCCGTGTGGGCTGCAGTACCAGGGCTGGCCAGCGGGTGCTCTCAGCAACCAGAAGCTCACTCCTGCAGTCAGCCATCAGCTGAAGCTGATTGCAGAAGGTGTATTTAAGCAGGACCAGGCCTGTGATCAGTGCCTTGGTGTATTGTTTCCCATGAGCCCCTGTACCTGGTATCCTGTGTTCCTGTTCTGCTGACTATCTGATTTGTTGCCTGATCTCTGCTGACTTCTCCTGCTTGATCCCTGGCTTGCCTGACCATCCTTCTGCCTGATCCTCTGTACCGCGCTGCCCGTGAGTTACTGAACCCGGCTTGTGACCCTGACTATTCTCTCCCTGCTCCTCCGGTACCTCGCTGCCCACACGTTGCTAACCTGGCCTGCCTGACTACGCCTGACGCTACCCAGACGATCCATCCATCTATCCTGCATGGATCTGTCCCTGTTACCAGGTCTGCCAGCCTCTTTACGTCAGGCTTTCCCACGGTACATACCCTCGGCGGACCCCCTCTACCACAGTTGGGTGCACTCAGGGGCCGCGACCTGGTCTCAGTCCTGCGCCAAGTCCATCCCCACCATCAGGGTTCTGGTGAAAAGGCAGACTGGGGCTTAGACTCCACGCCCTGGGGAATCCCGTTCTGTGGGTACTAGAGATCCCACCGGGCGGTGCCTGACGGTACCTAGCGGCCTGCCTGACCATTCCACCTCTCCAGCCCTGACTACGCCAGTGTTCCTGAAGCCTGCTACTTCCCTGTGTCAGTCCACACATTTCTGGTCATACCCGGATCCCCAACAGCAGCCCATGTTATTGTGATTGCTGTGATTGAGTACAGTGATCATATGGCTGAGCACCTGTACCGTGTGATGTTGTAACCAATCACAATAGTAAACAAAACACTATGGAGAAACTGTGCTGCTGTCAACATGTAAAAAAACAAAAAAAAATGTATTTTTTTTTTCATACTGTCACAAGAGCAAGTGCAGTATTGTTATGGTGACATTGTACTGCTGGGTCAGTGATCATGTACAATGACTGTCTGTTTTGATATCACTGTATGTCAGTGGTGCCAACCATTATTTCAGATCACCACCACAGCAATATAATGTCACCAGACCACCCCGTACCAGTCACAGCATCTCTGACACCACCACACTAGTCATGGTGTCCATAATCACTGTTCACACTAATCACAATGTCCCTGATCACCACCATTCCCAGCACAGTGTCCCTGATCACCACCATTCCCAGCACAGTGTCCCTGATCACCATTACACCAGTCCCAGTGTTGCTAGACCAGTGCACCCAGCAACAATGTTCCTTATCATTGTCAGATGAGTCATAGTGTCAGAAAACCAGTGTAAGCCAGCCACAGTGTCCCTGATTGTTGCCAAACCAGTCCTAGTGTCAACAAACCAGTGTAAGTCAGCAACAGTGTTCTTGATTGCTGAAACCCTAGTCCCCAGTGTTGCCAGACCAGTGTAAGCTAGCAAAAGTGTTCTTGATCAAAGCCCATGCTTTGTGTTAGAAATATTCTATTAATTGACAACGTTGTGTACATTTCATCTCCTGCATTTTCCAAAAACGTGTGCCAAAAAATGACATTTTTACATTCACTATACCTTTCTGAAATAACCTTGTGGTGTTTGCTTTACAAAATATGGTAATTTTTGTGGGTGTTTCCACTGTCCAATGTGATAGGTAGTAAGGAAATTAGACACATCATTTATGCTCCTTGAAAGCCCAAAGGTGCTCCTTGGATTTTGGGCCCACCTATGCTTCAAGGCTGTAAAAAAGTCTCACACATGTGGTATCCCCATGCTCAGTAGGAGTAGCAGAATGTTCTCACTGGGTTTGAACTTTTTTTTTCTATATAAGGGCTCTTTCACATGGACGTTCTGATTGGGTCCACCTGCCTGTTTTTCAGGCGGACCCAATCGGAACTTCCATTCTCCTCTACGGAGTGGCGGGTGTAAACAGACATGTGTCCATTTACACCCGCTGACATCTGATCCGTTCTGCCAAAAAGGGACAGATGGGGATCCAGTTCTCCTTCCGTTCATCGGATCAGGGTTGGGCCCATTTTCATCCAACCTCCATTGTGGAAAATGAGCAGCTCTGTGTCTGCTCTGCAGCAGCGGAGTAGAAACAGAGCGGTCACTGGCTTGCTCAGTAGGGATCAGCAGAGAGATCTCTGCTGAGCAAGCAGATCCGCTCGCTAAACGGGTCCGCCCTGTGTGAAAGGACCCTAAGCCCCCGTTCACATCAAGCCCGACTTTGAAAACGTGCAACTTACAGTGAAGTCACATGATTCCAAAGTCTGGAGACATGCCGATTTCAAGTGTGATTTGCAAGACATCTGACACAGATGTCTATGCAAATCGCATGAAAATTAGTGCATGTACTACGTTAAAAATCAGTGCGGCTCTGACCAAGTCGCACCCGATGTGACCGGGGGCTTAATGAAAAAAACAGTCAGTGCAATTTGACCACACACATCATTCAGTGCAGGGAGCTGCATGTGCCACGTTACTATTTCCTTCAGCCCGGGTTCAAACTATGTGGTGTGGGACACCGCATGTAATTCTTACAGGAATCACACCACATTCCTGTGCAAATTACATGTCTGTGCGCTGCAATTCAAGCCATACACTTTGTATGGCTCAAGTTGCATTGCATCCACACCAAAAAAGTGCAGGACCCTTTTTTAAATCCGCACCTGCATTGCATTGCATGGGTGTTTTCACCCATGTGATGCGATTTCTGGCAAGTTTTGCAATCTGTTTCGGGTGTCATATATTTAGCATTGACACTCGCACCAGATCACATGAATGCGATGAGATTGCAATGCGATGCAGGAGCACAAAGGATTTGCAGCATTTCCAACACCGCATTGGTGTGAACCGACTCCTAAGGGTGGGGGGCCTGGACTTGCACCTTTTGTGATATAATATTTACCAGTCCAATATAGGAAATCCATCATGTTGGAAAATAAGTTCAACATAGTCCAAAGAGAGAATTGCACACTGGCATTCTTCAAGCAACTCAGCAGAATTGTCCAGAGAATCTAATATGAACCATTGGCACCTATGCCTATTGATAATTTCACTTCTCACTATGATATGCGTAACATGTGTGCTAGGAGATGGATTGGGCCAACCACTAAAAACAAATATTGTCATATTCTGCTCAGGATTCAATGTTTCCTAGTTAACGAGTGAAACTGCCGTGTTTCTCTTGCTACGCAAATAAACACACAAGGTCACAAATAATGTGTCACATATATAACACATAAGTAGATTCAAGCCTGACCTCTGTCCTCTACATTAATGTGATTTAGGTCTCTAGCTCCCAAAGCCAATTACTGTTGCACAGCACATCTATGCTGCTTGCCTGTTTAGCACATTCATTCACAGTGTATGTCAGTAATAGCAGTGGTCTCTAATGACTCAAGAAGAATACATCTAGTTTAAATGCATCTGCAAGGCACTGTTAAAGATTGTATAAAGTCTTTTATAACATCAGCATTAGTGAAGTTCCTCAGTGTACCAATTAAAAAGGAGTCCACTCTTCAAATCACAAGTGTAAAAAAAAACAATATAAAGACTGCCGCAAGATGTTTAGATAGGACTTTTACACACGTACATTTTTGTGTTGTCCAGAAGAAAATTCATTTTTTCAGTCCGTTAGAGTGGCATTGAAGTTACATGTTAAATGTTGCCCTACAGGTAAGTAAATAAAGTATTACCTATAGGTGCTGTGGAAATAGTCTGAATTTGTGCCGTTGGGTATATATTAACATCAACTCCAACGTCTGCTCAGTGCTCTCTGCAGTCACAGAACAATGAGTGTGCTGTGATTGCAGATAGTTCCAAGCCGTGATAATGACTACCATGCACATGAGTGACATCATCGCGATCAGACTATTCAAACAGCTTGAGAATGTGAACCCTGAAAACAGACTGGGCAAATATAGAAGCGTAGGGAGTAATGACAGCTCAATGCTGGAGGGCTCTGTTTGAAAATCTGGCATAAAGTGCTAGTACACAGTGCATGCCAGCACATTAAGGCAAAAACCTGCAGGGAAACCATTTAAATTTTTGTTTATGTAGAGATTATTACCACTTTCATTGACAATTTGCATTTAGTTTCTTTACTGAACCATATTTAAATCATAATAATAGTTAATGACCCTAAGCTGACAGATTTTTTTTTTTTTACTTACTGTGCTGTGAAAGCAAAGTGAATACTAATCTTCCTTTTTTGAATACTCCTATCTATTTTCTTCAGTTTGAATTACCAATCTGTTTAAAGTGGTATTAACCACTTGCCCTCCAGAGGATTTACCCCCTTCCTGACCAGACCATTTTTTGCGATACGGCACTGTGTTACTTTAACTGACAATTGCGTGGTCATGCAACACTCTACAAAAATTAAATTTATGTACTTTTTTCCCCCACAAATAGAGCTTCCTTTCAGTGGTATTTGATCGCCTCTGCAGTTTTTATTTTTTGTGCTATAAACAAAAAAAGACCTACAATTTTGAAAAAATAACAATATTTTTGATTTTTTTGCTATACAACATATCCAGTAAACAAATTAAAAAAATCTAATTTCATCATAAATTTAGGCCAAAATGTGTTCTGCTACATGTCTTTGCTTAAAAAAATCCCAATACGTGTAAAATTAATTGATTTATGTGAAAGTTATAGTGTATACAAATGGCAGTAAATATACTGGAATTTTTTTTTGTTACTAGTAATGGCGGCGATCAGTGACTTATAGCAGGACTATGGGACTTCGGTGGGCATTCTGACACTGGAGGGAACTGACTAACTGCCACTGACATTTCAATGACACTAATAAAGTGATCAGTGCTAATAAAAAGCACTGACACTGTACTAATGACACTGGGCAGGAAGTTAACATCTGGGGCAATCAAAGGGTTAACTGTGTGCTGTTTTACTGTGTGCTGTGTGTGTTTTACTAGGGAATCATGCTGCTGTGTATTTCTCTGCTGTGCAGTGAAATATTCAGGAGCATGTTCTTGCTGGCAGAAGAGAGACCTGTGTTGTTTGCACACAGGTCTCTCCCTTGTCACTGTTTCTCAGTGATTGCTGGGTGCCAGGGGGAATTTCCGGGTGGGACCTGGTGATCAACATCTGTAGCCAATGGAGGCACCGTTAGGTCAGTGCACACGTGCGCCCCCTACCCAGAAATGCAAAATCACACACATACATATATATATATATATCTATATAATCTATATATGATTTTGCATAGCCCTGCCACCCTGTAACAGTATTTCTGCTATAGGGTGGAAGGCAACTGCTTAAACACAAAAACGAAAATGTATTTTATTGAAGCTTACCAATTCTTACATTTAATGGCTGCATTCGTTTTCTTTTTTAGACTTTCTTTTTTTTTATTTTTCACCTGGTGATTCTGCCAGTAAGTATGTTGTTTTTCAACAGAACAAGCTATCCTGCAGATGTACAAGTTTGAATAATGAGTCAAACCATTTACCACTAACAGAGGTGCTTACAATGGTCAGCTTTTTTTTGTTTGCATAAAACATTTATACCAAAAAGATAAAAAACCTGTTATTGTAACTGCTTATAAAGTGTAAGCTGGAGTTCAACTTCAATATTTTAGTGTATCTAATCTGCTAGTACATCTAACACTCCCCCCCCCCCCCCCCCCGACAGAAAACACTGCTCCTTCATCCAGTGTGGCACTCTAATACAGGAGGTGTGCTACTGGCCAGATCTTCAGGCAAAAACAGAGGGAAAAAAGCCTAAAAAAAGAAAACTAATGCAACCATTCCATGTAAGGATTGGTAAGCTTCAATGTTCTACATTTTTGGTTTTGATTTTAATACCTCTTTAATTGATAAAGCATCAGAAGAAACTTTCCACCAAAGCTTGTACAGTGAATATTTTTTTCTTCCCTCTCAAGGACATACTATTTTTCAACCTAAAGGCTTGTCCAGTGTTGAATTTGTCCTGCAGAAACACCAGCTAGAAATTTTTTTTTTTCTTCCACATAAAAGGCCCTATTAACTTTCATGAGTGAATTGAGCTGTCATTCACATACAGCCGTAGCGAAAACAGATACACTACATAGACAGTATAGGCAATCAGTAAGGCATGTGTTTGTATTCCAATGTCTATGCTTTTTATCAAATTTCAGGGGCTTATTATTTTTAAAAGGACACCTTATTTTCAGTTACTCTCTGCCAGGGGCGGACTAACAACTCATGGGGCCCCCGGGCATTAGGGGATCATGGGGCCCCTGTGTCTTTGCCCAAACTCAAAAAAACCTATGAAAAAGGTACCAGGGGCATCTCATGGGGCCCCCTACTGACCCCGGGCCCTGGGCAGTGCTCAAGTTTACAAATGGTCAGTCCGCCCCTGCTCTCTGCTTATACTCAGTTCAGCTGGCCATACACGTGTAGATTTTCAGCTGAGAATATTCATCAGAAAAGTTGTATGAAAATTATTTGCACATTCGATGAATGGACAAATGTCGCTCAAAAATTGTCTTTTGCTTTTAACATTTGATTTTAAAATGAATGTAATTTCTGAATGATGACCACAGTGCACTGGCTGAAAATTTGTTTGATCGAGAAAAGTTTTCCTTTTTGTCCCTTCAAATTTTCCCATCACTGCTGTCGAAAATGAACATTGATTTGACCCCACTGATGATTAGAAAAAATCAAAAGAATATTTTTGATACGAATATTCTCAAATGAAAATGTATATGTGTATGGCCAGTTTTAATCCTAACATTTAAAGGGTATTGTCCTTTGAGAGTACCAGGTTGGCATGATATATTTTTTCTTTAACTGAAAGCACAGCTGGAGTCACAAAACTAGATGTGCGTCCAGATACACAATGTACTAATAACCTCCATTTTTAAAATCTTACTACCTCTTTCCTATTGTTGTTAAACCCTTGACACCGTAGTCACACAAATATGCAGCCTAACAGAACTGGGTTTTTTTTCCATGGGCCTGCATATTTGCGTACCTGTCTTTGTGCTGGGAGCGTGCCACACATAGCGCTCCCAGCACAAAGACCGGGGTGTCTCTGAGAGCCCTGGGTCTCGTTCTAACTATCGGGAACTCTCGATTCTAGGTCACATGATCGCTATGATAGCCTCTGATTTGCTATCACAGTGATCAGTCACTGTGAAGTCCGCCCCCCCCTTTTTTTTTCTGAATGAAGGAGAAAGATACATTGTATCTCTCTATCTCCTTGCAGAGAGAAAAAAAAACAACTATTTGTAAAAAATAAATAAATATAAAAAAACTTAAGAAAAAATATCTAAATCAAGGATTGATTTAGTTCAGTGCCAGGGTTAGTGTATGGGCCAAGGTCAGTTTCAAATATCAAGGTCAAAGGTCAGGGTTTTTTTTTTTTTTTAAATTGGTACTAATGTCAGTTAGTGTCAGTGTGTTTTAGGCAAAAAAAATAAAAAAAAAAACCAAAATGTGCACTATTGTTTCTGAGCTGTAGTACAGGTGCAAACAACAAATAACATGTATGATAAGCTCCAAGGAGCAGGGCCCTCCTATCCCTCTTGTATTGAACTGTATTGTTGCTGTATTGTCTCCCGTTATATTGTAAAGCGCTGAGCAAACTGTTGGGGCTATATAAATCCTGTATAATAATAATGGTATTGCTGCAATCGCCAAGAGCTGGAAAATGTATTTTGGGTTGTTCTTTGGTGGTAGGTTATGGTAGTAACAAACACACAGCTAAATTAAAATAAAAAAAAAATTACTTACTATTTTTGGGCCAGTTTTCCTTTGACAATAAAAAAAAATCAGGGAGATATCCATTACCATTTACCACCAAATGAAAGCCCAATGTGTCCTGAAAAAAAAACAATGTATAATCCACCTGGATGTACAAAGTAGTTTTTGATGATATGTACGGTTTTATTAACACATGTCAACGTTGTAAAATTTTACTTTAAGATTTGTTTTACCCTTAAGCGTGAAGGGATTAATATTATTATTATTATACAGGATTTATATAGTGCCAACAGTTTGCTCAGCACTTTACAATATAGTGGGAGACAATACAGGAACAATACAGTTGAATAAAAGAGGGTTAGGAGGGCCCTGCTCCTTGGAGCTTACAATCTATTATAGCAAGCTGTGCAAAGTATCTACATAAATATGAGCGTACAGTCCAAATGGCATCAGTTAACTGCCTTCCTGCCGCCTATGGCAGATATACTGCTACAGGGCAGCAGAGGTGTGCAAAATGGGTGTGTGTGTGTGTGTATTATTATATCTATATATATATATATATGTATATATATATATATATATATGTATGTATGTATATATGTATATATATATATATATATTATATATATATATCATTATATATATCATTATATATATATATATATATATCATATATATATATATATTATATATATATATATATATATATATATATCATTATATCACGTGTGTGTGTGTGTGTGTGTGTGTGTGTGTATATATACACACACCATTCGTGCCTCCGGCTTTCAATCACCGGGTTCCGGCTGGTGATTACCCGTCGGTACTCGGTGATTACCGAGCATCTCCAACGGGGAGGAGGACTGTTATGTTTACTAACAGTTCTCCTCCCTGTCAGCTGGGGCACACTGCTCTGGATGGCTGTACACAGCACCCTAGCTTACACAGCCCCCTAGTAAAACACTTCCTGCACACAGTTAACCCTTTGATCGCCCCATCATGTTAACCACTTCCTGCCCAGTGCCATTAATACAGTGCCAGTGTTTTTTTTTTTTTTTTTTAGCACTGATCACTGTATTGGTGTCACTGGGGATGTCAGTGACACAAAATCAGTTGACCAACGTCAGAATGTCCGCCGCAGTCCCGCAGTCCTGCTAATAGTCGCTGATTGCTGCCATTATTAGTAGAAAAAAAAATTTCCAGTATCTGTACTACCATTTATAATTGCTATAACTTTCACGTAAACTAACTGATATACATGTATTGGGACCAGACATGTTTAATAGCAAAAAGTAAAAAATATTGTTTGCTCAAATAGTAGATTTGCGCAAAAAAAAATAAAAACCGCACATGTGATCAAATACCACCGAAAGAAAGCTCAATTTGTGGGAAAAAAAGGACATAAATTTCATTTTGGTGCAATGTTTCATGACCGTGCAATTGTCAATTAGAGTAATGCAGCGCCGTAATGCAAAAAATGGCCTGATCAGGAAGGAAGGGTAAATCCTCAGGAGGGCAAGTGGTTAAACACACTTCACTCAATACTGTGACAACCTTATGCAGGCCATAGACGGGTCGAAAATCGGCCGATTTTTCTTTTAAAAAAACCAAAAAATCGGTCATTCAAGCGACCGACGTTGCCAGCAACGGTAAAAAAAAATCGGGGCCGATTTTCATCCCGTCTACAGCCGGCAAAAAGTGTCCCTGCAGAGAGCTCCGCTATTTCTTCTGACAGTTCCTTGACATTTATAGCGGTTGCAACAATGTATCTATTTGTATCCATTTAGGATACAGATGTTTTTATTCGGAAACAAATAAATACATTGTTGCAACCGCTATAAATCATCCTCTTCTTCATCTTCCTCTTCATCCTCTTCCTCTTCTTCTTCATCCTCTTCTTCTTCATCCTCTTTTACTTCTTCTTCTTCTTCATCCTCTTCTTCTTCTTCTCTTCTTCGTCCTCCTCTTCTTCTTCTCTTCTTCATCCTCTTCTTCATCTCTTCTTCTTCTTCATCTCATCTTCTTCTTCTTCATCCTTCTTCTTCTTCTTCTCTTCTTCGTCCTCCTCTTCTTCTTCTCTTCTTCATCCTCTTCTTCATCCTCTTCTGCTTCTTCGTCCTCTTCTTCTTCTTCTTCATCCTCTGCTTCTTCTTCGTCCTCTGCTTCTTCTTCGTCCTCTGCTTCTTCTTCGTCCTCTGCTTTCTTCTTCGTCCTCTGCTTCTTCTTCGTCCTCTGCTTCTTCTTCTACTTCATCTTCTTCATCTTCCTCTTCTTCTTCCTCCTCTTCTTCTGCTTCTTCATCCTCCTCTTCTGCTTCTTCATCCTCCTCTTCTGCTTCTTTTTGTCTTCCTCTTGAAGGTCACTGCTCATGCATAGATTTTTTTATCGCTAAAAGATCAGCCGATTTGCATATCATTGCTGCGAAAATCGGCCAATCGGCAAAATCGGCCGATTTTTTTCCAACTTT